AGTAACATTAACCTTAAAAACTGTACTTTTGAGTTAAAATATATATTTATAATTTTAATAAATGACAAATTAAAAAGGCATGAACATTTTTTTGTATCAAAAAAATATCAAACCTGACACCAAAGTATCGAACCGAACTGTGAATTTTGTGTATCGTTGCACCCCTAGTAATACTAATGGGGCTATAGCTGTAATGTTATGGTTTCATGTGTAATATGGAGGTGAAATAATGAGTCATTTTGATGAACAACTGTTTGCATGCAGAACCTGTCATAAATTTATCCTTAAAAATGTTTCAATTTTAATTTTCAGATGGTAGATTCTGAGTATTCCGCTATACTGAGAAAGACATATCGAATAAACTGAACCACCTGTTATACAAAACCTGTTATATAATACAAAATGACCATTGGGACTTAGAAACACACAAATGGAAGTTTTGAATGTATTGTAATTGCCAATAACATCTGGAATTTATTTAAAGCACTTGTTCAGCTGGTTTCTGTATGATCAAATAGATCAAATCATAGATCAGATCTGGCAAACAGAAATGTCTTGTGATTCCCATTAGAGTGAAAATGACTCTAATGTTGTTTTATTACAGAATACCCTTACTAGGTTCAATCAAGGTGACTCAGCCTGTGTGTATAGATAGATAGATACCCACTGCAGAAGTGCATATACTCTGAATTGACCTGTAATGCTGAAGGTGGTCCAGATGTGCACAAGCAAAAAGCCTTGAAGGAAAGATCAGCCAAGTATAACTCTATAACTTTATAAGAAGAGTTGCGTAATTTTATGATCAGTGATCATCATAAGCAGATTAAAACACTTATCCTATTTTTTGGGGTTACCAAGTGATCACCCCAGCCTCACGACAAGCGACCATTTATGGGCTTTTGACCCTGTTGTGTGTTCTGTTTTGCTTCAGGAGAGACGGTGGATAGAAATCTCTGCACGTCTAACCCAACTCCAGAACCTGTGCCCTGTGAGGTGCCTTGCTCAAGAGACTGTGTGCTCAGTGACTGGACGTCCTGGTCCACTTGCTCTCAGACATGCTCAAGCAAGACCATTGAGGGCAAGCAGATGAGGACCCGCTCTATTCTGGCCTACAACGCTGGGGAAGGTGAGTCTGGACCCGCCAACAGTCGACTGTCCGTGGTATATGGAAATATATGGAGATGAGGCCTGAATATTGGCTTAGTCACAGCCTTTCAAGTCGTCCTTTGCTGTCACTCTTCGAATGTCTGGATTTCACAGTTCTCTGCATGTGCATTTGTCCTTATCTCAAACAGTCTGCTTATCTGTCCTGGTGATTATTTCTGTTGGTCTGTCTCCTCGCCTGACACTCACTTTTTTATCTCTTTCTAAGATCATTTCTCTGCATATGCTTATTCTCTCTCTGGTTTTAAATTTCTAAGAGCGTCCGCCGTGTTTTGTTTGTCGTCCTTTTTGTCACGTCTCTGAATGTTTTATCTGGGTGTGTGTTTTCCTCACAGTCACTGCAATGGTTGTGGCGTGGATCACTGTGATGGAGGGTAACATTTGAAAACACATTTTGATGGTAGCTCTTGTATCCCTCTAGCTATGTGTCTACATGCAGAAAAATTAAAATTGTTAGTTTGTTTTGAGCTTTAAAAAATGTGTACATTACCATAACAGCTTTAGGGTAGCTTATAATTGATTTTGAATTTATTCAGCCAGTTGTAATTCAGTCAAGCCTTGTTAGCCATGTGTGAAATGACTGAACTCTGTTAGCGCTTTTCAGTTGTTCTGCTGTAGTATTAGCTCATCCAGAGCAGACCTCACCTGCCACATTAACATTTCTGACGTTTGTATGTATTAAAGGTCTTTCACAGGTGCCGAAGTTTCCAGAACTTTATGGTAAATGTTTGACTCTAGGCAGACTGGATAAACTGTAGTTGTAGAGTTGTAGTTTAGATTAGCTTTAAACCCCTACTGTACTGTGACACAGTTTTATGAACACACAACAATACCAGAAATCTGGAAGCTTTCTCTCCATCACAAGTTTCCCCCCCAGAGCAGATTATCTGATTAGAATTTGCTCCTTGGCAGATTTTTTTTAACCCATGTGTTACATATTAATGAAATATTGAGAAAAAATGGTTGGAACTAAAGAACTGCTCAAACCTTAGGACACGGGGCTCTAATAATATGCATCCACCAATGTTTGCATAGAATTCTGTGCTAATTTTAATAAGCTTAATTAATAACCTATTTAGCATAACTGCTTACATTTAATTCTGTGGTGATTATGGTGGGACTGTGGAAAGCCCAAGTGGCTCTTACTGTTTTATAGTCATCAGTTGAATCACATTCAAGGTGCATGCTAAGTGGCAGTTTCTCCAGCAAATTATAGTTTGTCTTGCAAACATGAGTGCATTTAAATAACTGATGGAAAGGTGTCAGAAAATACGCAAAAAATGATGAAAAAACAACATTTGACTATACCTGTCTAATAAATACCCAGTAACGACATGTCCCACGTTCAGTTAGGTTCATAAATCTTTGGGAAAAGACATGATTTTGCCTCTCTACACCACAATACTGGATTTTAAATTAATCAATATGTGATTAAATCACATGTTATAAGTATTACAGGGATTACAGACATTGTTCTACATAGTCTGATTGTACATATGTGGTGATTCTGTAAACAATTAACAGCAATGTTTTTGCGAAATCCCTTGAATTAAAGCTAAAAGTCTGCACTTAAATCACATATTACTTGATTTATAAACCGCTGTGTTGGTGTGCAGAGCCAAAAATTCTTTGTCTAGCAATTTATGGACCAAACTATATATGCACCATTATTTGTCACTGCATCATGTGAGATATGTTTCCTTTAAACTGCCTCACATTTCCCCCGTTGTCCAGCAAAACAACATTTTCTAGGTCACTGTTCAGCCACAGCTGAGGCTCATTTGCGATACCATGTCAGGCCAGTGTCGAGTCTAGCATTGCCCCATTGTTAGTCAGCTAAGGTGGCATGGCGCAGTCAGCAGAAAGGAAGTCATGCTCAGTGGCTATTAGGCTGGGATTTGTCAGAGTTGGCAGTCTGTGATTCAGACCCGACTGTGTGTACACCGGCACTCATTTAGGAGCTGGCTTTCTTTCAACTCCGGCAGAGAAATACAGGTGTGAAGAATTCGCAGTACTGCAATGCCCCTCAATCTTTCCTGAAAGCCCTAAGTGTCTGCAATTACTCTGAAACAGAGATGGCTCTCTCAGCCCATCGACCCAACAACTGACTTACTGCTGCCTTACAAGAGAAAGGAAAGGGACATGGGCAAAGAGGTGGCATAGCGATGGCGATAGTTAAAGGTATTAAACACTAAAGTAGTGGACTAAGGAGCTTGGAAAGAAAAGCGTCTGGACTTCTTTGAGTTGCTTGAAGACGTTTCACCTCTCATCCAAGAAGCTTCTTCAGTTCTAAGGGTCAATTGGTGGGGAGTCCCAGATTTAAACCTAGTGGGAGTATCCCCCCAAAGGGGGACAAAGGACCCCCTGATGATCCTCTACCTAATCACATGAGCCAAGGTGTGAAAGCCAGTGTGGGTCCCAATCAGCCAGGGTTTCGGGTGAGCTCATTGTGAAACCTGGCCCCACCCTATCATGTGATTTCCTGAGGTCAGATGGCCCAGGATGTGAGTGGGCGTTAAGGCGTCTGGGAAGGGATCTCAAAACTGGATTATAGATGGCAGAGAGTTGGTGTCGAAAACCACCGCCTCTGTTCAAAGATGGTCGCTCACAGTGGACGTAAATGGCTTCTTTCACTCCTCTTTCAAACCATCTGTCCTCTCTGTCCAAAATGTGAACGTTGGCATCCTCGAAAGAGTGACCTTTGTCCTTCAGATGCAGATGAACTGCTGAGTCTTGTCCCGTGGAGGTGGCTCTTAAGTAGTGCATTAAAGCTGGACTTATGTCTTGCAGTAGTATACACAAACATTTAAACTCCTCTTGTAGACATAATAAATTACCAAAGGTTAAAACCTAAATCCTGAATAATCCCTGATAAAACCAGACCAAAACAGCATTTGTAACATTAACATTCAACAGAGTAGGACCTGCAAGTATTTTTTGGTAAATAATGGTTGTTTTTAACATTGGCAACCCAAGATATGTAGTAATTTAAAGACATGTTTTTAAAAAAATCACTATTTTTCCACGACATGCCAGCAAACATGGTAACTTTTCAGCCTTGTAGCTTTCACCAAAGCGCGTTTTGTAAGATGTTGCTCATAACTAAACAGATGTTTTTAAGGACTATTATTCATTTCTGGTCATCTACATAAAAATCATACACGTCTCATTCAAACATTAGACATTTTCCAGGGCTATCTTTGGAGGCTTTTTGGAAAAAGTAGAAATCAAAATAAAAAGTTTAGGCTCCCTCTTTAAAGTAAACCCCTGATACCCAAAGGCAGCAAAAGAAGAGAACTGATCGTGCTGTCAGTAAAAACAAAATGCCAGATAGATCTATATTATGCATTATTCTGTTTTAATGAAAATTGGGTGGAAAAGCAAGCAAAAAAAAAAGATGCAGTGCAGTGATATTTTGAGCCATAAGTGCAGATGCATATAAATCAACCAACATAAGCCTCAGCGTTTAGCTTCGGGGGAAACAAATTCTTGCACCTTTCTTGAGACTTGAAACTGGCTCATTTACAGTTTCTCTTCTAGCTTTTTATTCAACAATTCTCACCTCCGAGGTGCAAGAAAAAGATTTTTGATTATTAGGTTGTCACAAGGTATTAGAGGCTGTTTAGATATCTAGATCTAGATATTAAACTGACATTGAATGAGAGACTGGGTTAGAAGTTTTATATTGTTTGGTCCCACAAGAATAAAACTTTCCATCACTAACAAAACCTTTTCTTTTTTTTGACTGTCAGCGGTTACATGTGAGGTGTAAAGTGTTTTGTAACAGGCTTAAAAAAGAACTTTTCACCTTTCATTTTTTTTTAACCAAATTGATCCTTTTTTTACTCCATCATCACCCGACCAGATTTATCCTAGAAAATAACTACATAGAGGAAACAGCTCCATGACTGTCTCATACTTGAGAGTGTATGCAAATATCAATCTGAGGCTGGTAATTCTAATTTTAGCCTAATCCATGTAAAGTAGTTTTACCTGAACTTTTACACTGAAAACAGTGAATATAATAGTGCTGGGTGATTCTCTTAATTAGCATTACATGATGTGTTTTAATCAGCTGTGGAAACAGAGTACAGGAATGACTACTCCTGTTTTACCTCCTCACATAAGAACACTTTTAGAATTGCTGTCCTCACTGTGTTTTGGGATTCTCAGGTGGCGCCCTCTGCCCGAACAGCAGCGCCCTTCAGGAGGTTCGGAACTGCAACGAACACCCCTGCACAGTTTACCACTGGCAGACGGGGCCCTGGGGCCCTTGCACTGAAGACCCCTCCACCTCCTCCTTCAACACTTCTGTGGGGGTCCAGCCCAACAGTGACGGCGAGGTTCCCTGCTCCATGGGAATGCAGACTCGCAAGGTCATCTGTGTCCGAGTGAATGTGGGCCAGGTGCCACCCAAGAAGTAAGCTATATTTCTGCTTTCTTTGAGCACTTGTTTATGTTGGCGTTTAACCAGCGTATAGCCATTTAAATCCTGCTACACAACACTGATTGCTTAGTTCCTGCCTCTCTGATTTGTAGCTGTATATAACTGTGAAATCAACTCCTGGAGTGCTGTGTTGTGATGAAAATTGCTAAGTTCTCAGACCTAAAATCCACTTGCTTTGAACAGTATTTCACAATCATGTGCTATCGAAGATAGAAGAGGAGGCGTGTGTTTCCATTTCAAATGGCTCTGTATGGCAGCTGATTTGACTGATTTGGACACTTTTCACATTCAAAAGGAAGAAACTAATCAGTGAAATCTGTAGCAGCTTTGAGGAAACGACGACAGCGAGAGCTCTGCTTGTCTTTTGATGAGTGAAATGATGTGTTAAAGAACCCCTTGTGTTTTGGGTTGTTGCTTAATGAACACAGAAATACAGTGAAAATGAAATTTTAAAAAGCCCATCTTACATGCTCGGTCAAACAGTGATGTACGAGCATTTGTTTTGGTGTGTAATGGAGTATCCGGGACATCGAGTAAATTATTTGTATCTGTTTATTTTAAAGGACGTCAACGGTTAACTGTACATGGCAAAACTGAGACTGAAAGTCGATGACATTAAAAACACAAAGGAGAAGTCAGAAAGCAAGAGATGAACGAGAGAGACAGCAGTGGGTGGGGAGCAAAGTGAAATAACGAGACGCCGAGAAGACTCTACGTGAAGTTAACTCCCAATTCCTATCTCCCCTTTGCAGGCATCCACAGATAAATAAATAATCTTTGTCCCTGAAAGTCTAATTAACCCTGCCGTTTTGGGCGCTGGTAATTTCTCATTGATGATAATGACAGTAATTAAATGGGATTGATACTTTAAGGCAATTTAATCATGGGGGAGATGAGAGACAAGATGTTTGTGGTTAGCTCTGAAGACCACACCGCATGAGGCGAATTCAAAACACAGAAGCGTTTACTTTAACATCCGCCAAAAAGTTCATCTCTAGTCTGGTGTCAGTTATGCTCGGCTGATTCACATGACAACAGAAGATAAAGGAGTTGATCTGCGTTTGTTGCCTTTTGCAGAAAATAAATCCAAGGCAAATTGATTTCGGCCCTGCAAAAATAAAAACAAAAGGTCTCTTAACGTGTGTTCTCTTATGTTAAATTAGTTCCTTTTGTTTCTCGCTATAATCAAGGACCAGAAAGTCCCCAAGCGTAGTTATCACTGAGGAGAGGATGGCAACATCAATTATTTAAAGGGTCGGCGCGTGTTGAGCATGTTACGAGGGAAATGTGATTCATGGAGAGCAACACAGGATGAAATGAAGATTAATGTCCAGTTCAGCGGTGGCTGTTGGAGCAGCTGACCCAGTCAGTGAAGCTGCAGAACAGGGGTCAAGATCCTGGAAGTCTTTTATCGTGTGTAGTATAAAATCTACACTCCTGGCAAAGCTGGAGCAACAGATAAACACAGGCTCAGTGGCTTGGCGAGTGGGAGGTGCAAATGTGTCAAGGGTAATGGCTCTGAGTCTCTGACAAAAAGAGATTTCAGTCAATTTGTTTCCATTATCTTTGTTTTTACTGCTCAATAACTTATATAATCAACTGTAATTTGCAACAAGGGCAAAAGAGCAGCATGTAATAGTGTCACTAGCAGAAACGGAAAAGAAGATATTGAAAGCGGACTCCTACTCACCCTCTCAGACGGAGGTTATTGCTGCTAACCTCAGCTGAGCCTGTTGGAGGTTTTGAATAATGAAAGTCACACAGGCACCTTAAAGAAGTCCAAAGAGTTGTTTGACATTTTCAACCTTCAGTGGAGATTGGTTTTTCTGTGACTTACTTAGTAATTGAATTATTTTGGTGATGCTGAGTTCTGTGTGGTAACAAGCTTTAAAACAAGAGTCCATTAGAACAAAAAACGCAAGGAAAATGAACGTCCTTCAGGTAGTAAAGCACATCCACACCCATGTAACAGGAGGTCTGTCATGCTCGTAGTCTTTATATACTCAAAGGATTATTGTTGCTGTAATTCCTTTTTTATTTTATTTTATTTTATCTTATTATGGAAAACAATGACAAGACATTTCAACTGTTTTTGAAGCAGCTGGGATGAAAATGAGTACTCATCATGTTTGAGGCCATGATTCTCAGTTGTCTAATCTCAGCTGGAGAAGAGTTGCTACACCAAATGGTGGAACTCAAGTAGCCTATATGGGGGTCTTTTCTATTTTTGAGTGGGAGATTGAGAGACAAAGGAGCTTGCAAAGAAAAGCGTCTGGACTTCTTTAAGTTGCTTGAAGACGTTTCACCTCTCATCCAAGAAGCTTCTTCAGTTCTAAGGTCAAATGGTGGAGAGTCCCAGATTTAATCCTAGTGGGAGTTTCCCCCCACAGAGGGACAAAAGGACCCCCTGATGATCCTCTAATCGCCTGAGCCAAGGTGTGAAACTGGGTGTGGGTCCCAATCAGCCAGAGTTTCGGGTGAGCTCATTGTGAAACCTGGCCCCACCTTATCATGCAAATTCCTGAGGTCAGATGGCCCAGGATGTGAAAGAAGCCATCTATGTCCACTGTGAGCGACCATCCATGAACAGAGGCGGTGGTTTACGACACCAACTGTCTACCATCTATAATCCAGTTTTGAGATCCCTCCCCAGACGCCTTAACGCCCACTCACACCCTGGGCCATCTGACCTCAGGAATTCGGGACCCACACCCATTTTCACACCTTGTTTGTCCCTCTGTGGGGGGATACTCCCACTAGGTTTAAATCTGGGACTCTCCACCATTTGACCTTAGAACTGAAGAAGCTTCTCGGATGAGAGGTGAAACGTCTTCAAGCAACTTAAAGAAGTCCAGACGCTTTTCTTTGCAAGCTCCTTTGACTACGATGACCTCAATGACTGAGAACCTTCACAGACGAGATTGAGAGACAGATTCAGGTAGCACCTGTCGAGAGGTGGAAGCTGTACCATCTGTTGTGGTGAGAACAGGTCTATAAAAATCAGAAATCTTTACTTGATTCAACCTTAGCTTATCTCAAGTTCAGTGTCGTCTCACGGGGCTTCCAGAATACTTGTTTTTGACTTCCTGGAAGTCCACGTCAGACCATTTAAACTTGACAGTGAGCAAAAATGAAAGTTTCTTTCAAACTGTCCTGAATTTTACGTGGAGTATCATCACTGGTAATGAATTGGAACTCCAGCTACAGCAGCAAGCTTCTTTTCAACAGTTTGAAGTTGAAGAGTACATGTTTTTCAAGCTGTACAGCAGCATGGCAGGTGAGGAGCGAGGCTGGGAGAATTCTCACTGTTTCTTTGTTTTGCTTTGGGGTTTTTCGGCTGTACAAACCTGAGGTTTCTGGAAATGCATTTAAAATGCAGGAAGATCTTTTTGGGTACTAAAGAAAGTCTTTGATACACTGGCGTTGTTCCAGTAACTATTTCAGAGGCCAACGTAAAAAGGAATACTGTAATGGGACCAGACTGAGAAATGTGAAAATATCAGCTGTGCCAAAAACAATGCAGGAGAAATATACGTTGAATGTTAAATCAAGTAAGCAGCAGCCTGATTGACAGACGTCTCTTACAGAATGAGGGTGGTTAATGTTTGTCAGACATTAACCATTTATGTAAAGAGAAATTACAAAACCAGAATAAGAGTGTGGACAAAACAGAAACATTGTATTTTCCAAGTTTGTGTTTTTATTTTGGTTTGTCTTTTCTTAAAGAGCATTTTTATGATTAATTTGATGAAAAAATTCAAACTGAAAAGGAAAGGCAGGACTGGATTATGCATAGCAGCCAGCTGTCCCTATTCTTCTCAGACCAGCCAGTTAGGCAAAGAGAAAATATGGTGGGTATAAAAATTTTTTTACTTCTGTACCTGACCTACTTCAGGCTAATGTCTGATGCGAGAAAATCAGATGGATGAAATGAGTGTCAGGATTACTCAGCAGTGAGAAATCTCAGACTGTGCAGAACTTTTTGTAAATGACTGAAGATGGAAATAATCATATTTTGACCATAATGGATCTGATCAAAACGTATTTGCAGCTGACAAAACACAGCCCCTGTTGCAGAACAGAGGCTGTGTTTTGTCAACATAACAAACACTAAAAAGGAGACCTGAAATCAAGAGCCAGAATAAACATTTGTAAATGGCCTGTACTGTGTGGACTTAAAAGCGCACACAAACACAATTGTTTTTGTTGTTTTTAATTTATCAGGAAGACCAGATTTTCCATTAGATAATGGGATTATTGGATGAAACATTTTTGGCATCCATCTCCAACTCGCAGCCTCTTAAAAGGGATGGGACTAGCAGTTGTGTTTAATGGGTTGTACCTCGGAAAAAGTGTGTGCATCATCACTGCTTGAGTTTCTGTCTGCCTGGGGGCAAAAACAGAGTGACAGATACTGAGAGCGCTGTCAAACAGAAGTCTCTCCACAGATTGTGAGACGGCTTTTCACGGTTATGGAAGAAGTTAGCCTTCAGGGCTGGCAGAAAGCCTTTCCTGCTAGAAAGCATTCTTGGAGAACGTCTTCTTGGTTCGTACTAGAAACACGGGAAACGCACACGCTAAGCCTTGGTGACTTTTGTTAACCTTACAAATCTGTGGCAGGATATTTGGTGGAAAATAAGTGAAAATAATTCAATTAATAATACACATAACATGAACCCCAGTCCCGTGTATAAATCTTTCCACATACTAGCTCTGAATTCCTAAAGTCGTTGTGCCTTTCCCATTTTTCCCGCTAGCTGTTTTCACCTCTCATCATTGAAGTGTCATGCTGTCCATGGTGCTGAAGACATTTCCTGATCTCCTGTATGTATGTGTGATGCAAAGTAGCTCCCCTGAATTTGACCACATTTTTGTTTTATTCTCTCTCGTTTTTGGCGCATTGGTGCAGTTTTAATACTGAAAAAATAATATTAAGTATATCAAATGTTATTGATCCTCAAAGTTAGGTATAG